ATATTATGGTCTATTGTTATTAAACACTAAATAGATGAATTGTTTGATTGAGTTTTGTGCCTGAATGGACCGTAATGGGTTGGACCATTCAGTTAAGCCCAACGAGAGGTCCCTGTCCTCAGCCGTTTAGCTATTTAAGTGTCTCCCCATTAGACAATTAAACTACTCTGAAAATCCTAAACGACAATGAGGGTAGTAATTCTCTCATACTCACAAGTTTCGACAACCGTCTCTTCAATCTTATAAGGTACACCGTTCTAATTATTCTTGATTATTGTTAGATTAAACAATATGCTATAATTTGTATCTATTAAATTCATTTAAATCCTTCCGATATTTCAGAAAAATAATTTACTTTATTTTTTTTATTTTTTTTAATATCTAAAACACGTTGAATATTGCTTTGGATATTGTCTTTTTGTTTTTCCGTTATTCTTTCTCTTTGTTGCCATAGAAAACACAAATTTGATTTAATAAAGAATTTATCAGTAGTAATTATTTACATAATCTATAACTATATATAAAGGGGATACACCTTTTTGGTGTGGCCTATTTTTGTTCCACAATTACCCTTCATTAATGCTTACTTTCATATGTTTATTCCATATTTACCCTTTTCCTTAATTCTTAATTTCTCACTTGATTTTATTTAATAATAATACTAAATAATAATTGTAACAAATAACTTCCCACTATCTCCATAGTCCTTCCTATCATTAACGTTCATACTAACTCCTCTATGCAAAGTGAGTCTCTCTCTAAGCCATTTACAAACTATTTCTCTCAATTTGTCAAGCTATTTGCAAATTAATCATATCCCTCTCTCCATTTCTTTGTCAAACCGTGCATACCTCTATTAGTGTAGATCAAGACTCTCAACAAACTCATTCTGATATTATTTTTGTCAGGTATTTTTTTTAAAAATATAATTGAATAAATTTATTAAACATTCATCACATCTTTGTTATAGGCACTTAATTATATATGTTTGTTACAGGCACTTGTGGTGGTTGTTCGGAACAAGAAACGTGTCAGTTTCACATATGAATTGTCCTTAAAAGTGAAAGGCGAGTATGTACTTTATTTTGTTATCTTGCTTTTCTGTTTAACTGTTTTACAATTCATGTTTTGCAAATGGATATAGGCGAATGGATTATACAAGGGAATAAGAAGTTAGTTGGGGGCACATAGATGTTTCTGAGGTCTCATTTGGGGAAGTGGATGACTTGCAGGTAATGTCCTCTTAAAGTCTGTAACATTCAGGGAGCTTACAAATAGAGAGTTTTAAGATGTGGTTATACTAATTGTGTATGATAGATCACTATCTAATTGTTAATTTTTAATTCTTAATTATCCAAAAAAATATATAAACAACTTCATGTTTATACGGTTTCGCTGCTAATTGTTAGTTCATAGTTATCATTATCATTTAACATAAATCATAATTATAGTCCAATAAGCTTTAAGTCTATTAACAAAAAAAGGCATATATGTTTTAAATCAAAATCCAGTGTAAATCAAATTAACTCCAAGTTTCTGTAAAAAAAAATTAGTCATAACACATCCAATAAAGCGAATGAAGCGAGTGGAATGAACATCTGTTACAAAACATAAACCAAAATTTAACATAAAACAAAAACTAATTGAATGAGGGAGAGAAGTTGTAAGTACGGTTACTGAGTTTTGAATTTTATTATTTTGTTTTGTTTGTAATTGCAATGACACATGTTGTGTTTTCATTAGCTTTTATTTTGTTTTGAAAAAGTAAAAAAAAAATATTTAATTGAATTTTTTTTTATAAATAAAACATAAAAAATATATGTACGTGGAAGGCTCCCCAAATTTATTTTTTCTGTTTCCATTTTGTAACCTTTTATTATTTTTTTATAATTATTATTGATAATAAATTAAAATTACTAATCAATTATTCATTATTGAATCAATTAAGAATAGTTTCTTTTTCTTCTTTCTTCATCAAATCAATAATTAATATCTTTGGTTCTAAAATAATTAGAATTAATTGATATACTTAATATATTTATGGTTTAATTAAAATGATAATTGAATCAATAAAAATATATTTGGTTGAAAAAGTCATAAAATCATCTTAATTATCAATTGAATTAGTTAATTTTTTTAATTTGATGTTTTATCACACTTTTAGAAAAATTAGGTGGCTCCCCACCTTTTTCCTTTTTTTTTTCTTCTACTTTTTTTAATGCGTATAAAAATATAAACGATATTTTTTTTAAATATTTTTTTTCAAAAATATATTATGTGGAAGTTAATAATAAACAATTATGTAGAAGTTAAAAATAATAAATTATGTGGAAGTTAATAATAAACAATTATGTAGAAGTTAAAAATAATAAATTAGGTGGAAGTTAATAATAAGAAGTTATTAAGTAAATTATACAATAAAATAAGAGTAAAAATGGTAGAAAAATAAGTCATACCAAAACAAAGTATTCCCCGTATATATTGTATAGAAACCAATTTTAAATATTGAACTGAATAGTTTATTTACTTTCTTTTAAATGGCACATTTATAACAAGGTTAAAGCTTGTGAGGGGGCCTTTGAAGATCCAAACATATGTTACAATATCTTGATATCATTTTGGAATATCTCATAGGATTTGTTTCATCTTGGAGTATCTTAGACAATTTCTTGATATTAGTTACCGTGTTTCTTTACTATTATCATGATTTGATTTTCTATTTGATTTAGATTTGAACTCTTAGCAAAATAAATAATGGTTAGTTAGCATTTAGTTTTTTGGTGTCAAATTCCATTAATTAGTCATACATCAAACAATATTCATGATTGAAAGTCATATTTGTTGGACTGTGGCTAAACTTGAGATTTATGAGCTTTTCACTAATTTTTAAACCTTATCTTTATTGATAATGGAATTGAAAGTTTTCTTGAACCTATATGCAAAATAAGATTATATGAAGTGCAATCATTCTATGTTCAGAGAACCAATATATAACAAAATCTTAATGCAAAAAACAATTTGGAATTTGAAAATTTTATACCATGTAACAGATTTCTTATAATGGATTGATTATATCTATTCAAATATTTTCACTTACCAAAACCAGATTTGTAAGTGTAAGAACGTTAATGAAAAAGATAGAGAACACACAAAGATTTACGTTGGTTAAGCCAGCTAACATAAATCTTTGACTTGAAAACTGTGGCTTTCATCAAGTTTTTAAGACATTTTTTGAGATAATTCACTATTCAAAGTTTCATATGAGTTACTATAACACTATCTTTTCTCATTATTTTTTTAATAATATATCCTTTATCTATAACTTAAATTAACTCAGTTTTTCATATAATTTTTTTTAGTAGTAGTTTTTCATATAATTAAGTTACACAAATTTCATTTCTTACCCCATTTTATATTTTAATGTTTAGTTAATATGCAATCTTTTCATCTATTTGTCCAACATAATTTATGTTTCTTTTTATTGATTGCCCATATCTTCTTCGTCTTTTTTATATTTTTAACATATGTTTTACAAATAATACTTTTTGGTGTAAACTTCTTTTTTCCAAACACAAATATATTTATTTTAAATCCCATCTATATTTACCAATATTTTTCAACATAATTAGTGAAATTATGTTGCTTATAAATTGCCTATGTGTTTGGCAGTTACATTAACAAAATGGAAAATAATACCCGTCAGATATCAAGTCAACAACTAAGGGCGAGAAGGGCCGAAAATGAGAGGAAGAGGAGACAAAATATGAACCTCGAACAAAGATAAAATTATTTATCGATGCGACGTGACAATTATAGTCGGCGAAAAGAGAAAGATAATCAAGCTCAAACATCTCGCACTATGAACAGTCGGAAAAGAGTTCCATTTCAAAATTTTACAAATATGAGATCTCCAATGTCACACTTTCAAGGAACTCATGATAATGAAGCTGGCCCAAGTAGAATTACACATGTTAATGATGTTGTACTTGGTTGGTGATGATCAATATATATATTATAATCGTACTTTGTATAATATTGTTTATTTGTCATCTCTCATTTTATGTATTTAAACCCGCAGATCATAATGTCACATCACCTAACCAACGTATCAACAATAGTCACTCTGCTACAGGTATACAAGATATTGTTCTACATATATGAGCAATAATTTCAACATATATATATATATATATATATATATATATATATATATATATATATATATATATATATATATATATATATATATATATATATATATATATATATATATATATATATATATATATATATATATATATATATATATATATATATATATATATATATATATATATATATATATATATATATATATATATATATATATATATATATATATATATATATATATATATATATATATATATATATATATATATATATATAGATATATAGATATATAGATATATAGATATATATATATATATATATATATATATATATATATATATATATATATATATATATATATATATATATATATATATATATATATATATATATGTGTGTGTGTGTGTGTGTGTGTGTGTGTGTTAATTATTATTTTTATATCAGGCGATATGGATGTTGATGAAGCTTTGGAGGATGCAGTAATATCAGATGTTAACATGGAAGCAATAAATGATGATGCATCATGTCGTCCTCAAGGTATGTTCATAAACATTTTTCTGCCAAATAATGTAGCTTATACTCAAGTGCCATAAAACTGAAAATTATGCAATGCTAAATCTTCTAATCTAGGAATATTGCGCTAATTATTTATTTGTATTATAGATTTTAAATAATATTTAGTAATCAATATCAAACTCCTTCCTGTAGAATCAGGACGCGCTTTTCGAACAAGACACAATATTGCTCGAAATTTCAAAAATAATTCGATGATGGCAAAATCCCGGCTGCCTAATCCAATTTCCTGTAGATATTGCAATGCAAAATTGTTTCATCATGAATCACGTGATATGTGTTGTACTGGTGGAAATGTATCATTTTCACGAGTTAATGCTCCTATAGAATTGCAACAATTATTTTTGGATGGTTCAGTAGAAGGAAGGCATTTTAGGCAACATATTCGAAGTTACAACCATGTGCTCTCATTCACTTCAATTGGTGTTCACGTTGATGAGAATATTCTTGCATCTGGTCGTGGTATATATACATTTCGTGCTCAAGGTGCTTTTTACCATAACATAGGAGGTTTCTATCCAAATGAGGGTGCCAGACCGCGTTTCTTACAGCTATACATCTACGACACAGATAATGAGCTACATAATAGAATGCAGGAAAATCCACAACTCCACCAAAACGTAGTTCAAAAATTACAAAAAATGCTCCATCAGTTTAATCCTTTTGTAATTAGGTTCAAACAACTGTCACAACTTCCAAATATCGGTGAATGTAGCTTCATACTTAAAGAGCGTCCAAGTAATCACCATTAATATAATCTTCCAACTGCAGAACAAGTTGCGGCAATTATTGTTGGAGGAGATTCAGATTCTACGGAATATGGAAGGGATATTAATGTCATTCGTCATGATGGAAATCTAAAGAAAGTTCAAGAGACAAAGGGATATTATGATCCGCTACAGTATCCTATATTGTTTCCTTTTGGGACACATGGTTGGGACGTTAACACAACAAATTGTAATGGACGAAGATTGTCATGTCGAGCATATTACAGTTACATGCTTTAGGTAAATTTAGATTAATTTTAGTAAATAGTATACTTAGATAAGCGTAGTTTAAAACACATCACTTTTAACACCGACATATTTTTCAATCAATTGTAGATTCGCCCAAATGATCAATCAATGTTGTTAAATGCGGGTCGACTGTTGCAACAATATGTTGTAGATAATTATATCAAAATTGAATTAGGGAGGTTAAGGTGGATTAGAGAGCACCAACATGATATACGTGCTGAAGTGTACCAAGGTTTACAGGATGCTTTGCATGTCGGTGAAACTAATGCAGGTACTAAATAATGTAGCATAAATATATATTTATAGATTACTAATTAGTTGTTGTACTTATAATGATAATCTTTCATGTATTATGAAACTAATACATTTCATGAATCACCATAGAAAACATTGGAAAAAGAACAATATTGCCATCATCATTTATTGGAGGTCGTCGAGACATGACACGACGCTATGAAGATGGCATGGCTATTGTTCTTCATGGCGGTAAACCAGATGTTTTTCTGACAATGACATGCAATCCTTCTTGGAGTGAGATAACATCAGAACTTTTGCCTTTCCAAACACCACAAGATCGTCCAAATTTGCTAACAAGAATATTTCGTTCGAAATTCGAGCAATTAAAGGATGATGTTATTAATAAAGGAGTCTTAGGAAAGGTTAAAAGCTACATGTACGTCATTGAATTTCAAAAACGAGGATTGCCGCATGTGCATATGTTGTTGGTCTTAGAAAGTAACGACAAATTGCATGGCCCAGAAGAGTATGATAGTGTGGTAAAAGCAGAAATACCTAAGCTAGAATGTGAACCACAGTTGCATGAAGCGGTTCTAAAACATATGATCCATGGACCTTGCGGCGTTATAAACCGGAAGTCCCCATGTATGAAAGACGGACATTGTAAAAAAAGATATCCAAAACAATTCTTGGATGAAACACGTCAAGGCACTGACTCATATCCTGAGTACAGAAGACGGTTTGATGAACCTATATCGTTAGGTAGAGGCAGGTCTGTCGACAATAGATGGGTGGTTCCTTATAACCCTTGGTTACTATTAAAGTACGACTGCCACATCAATGTAGAGATTTGCAGTAGCATTAAAAGTATCAAGTATCAATACAAATATGTGTACAAGGGCCCTGATCGTGTGGCTATGGAGGTTCACAAAGGACCATACATGGATGAAGTTCAACAATATGTTGATGCAACATGGATATGTGCTCCCGACCAGTTGGGAATATCTTCTTACAAATAATGGCACTTCTTTCAGTACATTCAAAACATCAGCCGAGGATAGAGGATTTCTAGAGACTGATCATAGTATTCATGATTGTTTGGTTGAAGCGGCGAATCTCAGAATGCCATATGCTTTAAGGAGGTTATTCGTGACGGTTCTCATATTTTGTGAACCTACTGATGTTAGAAGCCTTTGGAATGAGTTTTTTACACATATGACAGAGGATTATCGAACAACTAACAATGTTGTGGAATCGGTCTTGACTAATATGTTGTTGAAGGACTTGAATGAACTTTTAAACCTGCACGGTAAAAATATTGAAGATTATGATCTCCCATCTTTACCCCTTGATACAGTACAAGGAAATTCGACTCCAAGTGTCATACAGGAGGAGTTAGCTGTCGATATCCCCAGTGAAGATATTGAATCTGTTGCGAAGTTAAATAATGACCAAGTGATTGCATTCAAAACCATTATGAATGTAATTGATCAAAAACACAGTGGGGTATTTTTTGTTGATGGTCCAAGAGGAACAGGTAAAACATTCCTTTATAGAGCATTAATGGCAAGTTTAAGAAGTAGAGGAGAAATTATTTTGGCAACTGCATCATCTGGTATAGCTGCAACGTTGTTACCCGATGGTAGAACTGCACACTCTCGATTTAAGATACCTATCTATATACAACCGAGTTCTATTTGTGGTATTCAAAAGCAAAACGATCTTGAAAATCTCATTAGGGTTTCTGCTGCAATAATTTGGGATGAAGCTCCAATGATAAACAAAAATTGTTTAGAAGCCTTAGATCGATCATTACAAGACATTTGTAGCAACAATGCTCCATTTGGAGGAAAAGTTATGATCATGGGGGGAGATTTCCGACAAGTTCTTCCTGTTGTAAGAAAAGGTACTAAGGCACAAATGATTTCTGCGTGTATTGTTCAGTCTCATTTATGGGCTCATACCAAAATTTTGCGATTGCGTCAAAATATGCGATCATTGCATGATCAAGAGTTTGCAGAATTTCTTATGTGCATTGGTGATGGTGTTGAACCTACCAAACTAGATAACATGGTGAGGTTGCCTTCACAGATTGCAGTCCCATGGGAAGGTGAACATTCCATACAAGTGCTTATACAACATATTTTTCCTGATTTAGAATTGCATGGTTGGGATGCCCTTTATATGGTACAAAGAGCTATTTTGACCCCAACAAACGATGATGTCCAAAAATTGAATGATATAATTATTGACCAGTTTTCAGGAGAAGAACATAATTTGTTGTCATTTGACGAGGTTGAAGGGGATAATAATAATTTATACCAGCAAGAATTCTTAAACTCAATTGCACAAGGTAGTTTGCCCCCGCATATTCTAAAGATAAAAATGGGTGCACCATTGATGTTGTTGCGAAATCTAGATCCTAGATATGGGCTGTGTAATGGGACGCGGTTATTATGTCGTGGGTTATATATGAATATGTTGGATGTGGAAATCTTGACAGGAAACAACGCAAGAAGACGAGCTTTCTTGCCCAGAATTAAAATAAAAACATCGGCCAGTGATGGGTTGCCCTTTGTCCTTAGTAGAAAGCAATTTCCTATGCGACTAAGTTTTGCAATTACAATAAATAAGTCACAAGGACAAACCATCCCAAATGTTGGAATATATCTTCCACGACATGTTTTCAGTCATGGACAGTTATATGTGGCTTTATCTAGAGGTGTTTCACAGACTACAACAAAAAATTTATCCAAGGAAGAAAAATTGGAAGGAGAAGATGGTGACTACACAAAAAATGTAGTATTTAAACAAATTCTTTTATCGCACCCGCAGGTATCATTACGTACATTAAACAAATAATCTCACACATTGATTCCCATTTGTACACGAAATACCAATATTATATTGTATTCTTTATATGATAAAACTAAATATAAGTAAGTATAAAATTGTGTGGCTTTGATATACAGTCAAACTAGAACACAATGAAGTCTTCCAATTATGTAAGGAGCTGAGACGGAAGAATGTTGAAACTTGCTTCGACATAAAGGTAAGCTAGACTTAATCCTTTATTTTATGCTTTTAATTATAATCAATCAATTGGATCATACTTATTCTCACTATTCTTATACAGAATAAACGTTAGATGGGGACTTTAAAGATAAATGGAACACATGGAAGGATGGACAAACAATTTCATCTATCGGCAAGCTAGACAATAAGGTGCATTTACCTTTTTCGCAACATGTATAAAAAAATATGTTTGTTGCATTTTCACCACTCTTTGACCAACACTTTTATCATCCTTATAAAAAAAAGGTCAAACGTCTAAACGTTTACTCGGTCGGTTGGGGCTCCACAGTGATAACAGATAAAACACAACTTTGGAAAATGGTGAAAAAAGAAATAATATCTCAAAGGATGAACATGTTTTTATTTTATTCATTTAATAATATTTAAGTCCAGAGAATATTTTTGAATGCATGAATTTTACTTTTATTATTGATTTGTGTAAGTAAAACCATGTATATTCACTAAACTCATTGTTGTTCTACCAAATCTGAACTAAAACAAAATATTTTCATTCTTCAGGTATACATTTATTTATGGTTCAGTACAGATTATAATCAAATAAATCACATGTTTTGAATTTATTTCTTTGTTGATATGACATTTCACGATGTATTTGTAGTTTTTTAAAGCTCAAGAGCGCATCGATAAAGGGATGTATGGAGAATTGATTCGAATCTTTACAAGGTAGAAAAATAATATATTATACTAATTACTATTACTTTCACTATATTTTTCCCTAGAGCAACTCTATTGTGAGAGTCTTACATTTTTTCTTTACTACGGAAAACAATTGCAGGGAGAGAGAAAATTCTCAAGATAAAGATTTTATATTCGACCTTCCTCTTAAGGAACGTTATTGATTACACAGTATAAATAATATTTTTTGTTCTTCAATTATTTAATATAACGTAGAATAACTTTGTTTGTTATTTTCAAAATGTAATAATATTATTTTCATGTTTAAACAACATATTTTTTGATCTAAATTTTATTTAATTCGGTAGGTTTAAACTAATAGTAGCATTAATGTATACTTAATTCACTAAAATATTTTTAGTATATATATATTTATCATCTTGATTTTATGACTTCTTGAGCATATCTAAAAACAAATGCATTTAATTAATCTTAACTATGATAAAAACTTCATACAAAATATACACGCATTTATTTTTCTATGTTGTGCGCATTAAAAAAAACGGACAGACGGGCACCGGAGTTCCCGTCTGAACGCTAGTAATAATAATAAAAGTATAATATTTATAATTAAAATGATAAAAAAACTTAAAACAAACTTAAAGGATAAAATGTTTAAAACGTATATCAAAATAATAAATTAATTCAAATCAAAAACATGTTTAACCAAATCTTATTTGCCCAATAATATATATTTTTAACTTGTTTTCAAAAATATATAATTTTTA